CCCTCCCCCTGGGGGTCACCAGCCGACATTGCTTGGCCGACGGCACCCTGAGGAGGCCCGCTCTGTGGGAGCGTACCGGTCTGTGGGAGGGAATCTGTGGCAGAAGGCGGTCTCGGAGGTATCCAGGTCCTATGCCATGGAGCGCTTTAAAGGTGGTAACTAACACCTTAAAGCGTACCCGGAAGGCCACTGGCAACCATGCCTTGGTGCTTGCCCCGGTCCCACCCCCTTCTGCCAGAGACCCTCAGATCTGTCCCACTCCTGCCCAGGCCCCCACAGGCACCCTTGACACGAACGATGTAGAGCTGGCCATGCCCACCCAGTAGGCCACACCCACTCCATCCACGCCCACCCAGTAGGCCGCACCCACCCTGACCACACCCACCCAGCCCCCCCGAGGGCAACCGCAATGCTGATGCGGCCCTCAATGAAATTGAGTTTGACACCCCTGTTCTACAGGTAATCCTTGACTTGTAACCACAATTGAGCCCAACATTTCTGTTTCTAAGCGAGACAGTTGTCAAGTGAATTTTGCCCCATTTTACAAACTTTCTTGCCATAGTTGTTAAGTGAATCACTGCAGATGCTAAGTTAGTAGCACCGTGGTTAAGTGGCTGTGGATTCCCCCATTGACTTTGCTTAACAGAGAGTCCCAAAAGGTGATACACATGACCCCGCACACTGCAACCATCATAATATAAACCAGTTACCAAGCATCCAAATTTTGATCATGTGACCATGGGGATGCTGCAAGGGTCGTAAGTGTGAAAAACGGTCATCAGTCATTTTTTTCAGTGCTGTTGTAACTCAGTGGTCACTAAACAAACTGTTGTAAGTCAAGGGTTGCCTGTACATTCCAGATTTTTGCTCTTCGACAGAATGAAATCATCAGATAATCCATTTCCAGAAATGAGTATCTGTTTCCTTAAGGGTCCTGCTGCAAACTGTCTAATGCAGGGACCCCCAGTCTTTTGGGCATCAGGGACCAGTTCTATGGAGAGAGGTTTTTCCATGGACTGGTGTGTGTGTGTGTGTGTGTGTGGTTTCATGCTGCCTGCATCCCGTGGATGGGGCTTCGCTTTTTTGTGCGGCCCAGTTTCTGGCAAGCCGCAAACCGGTGCCGGTCCATGGATTGGGGGTTGGGGACCCCTGTTCTTTTTTTTTTTTTTGTACAAGTTTTATAGTTTTTCAAGTTTTTACATCCAGGTGCTTAGGAAGCAGCGTGGTGATAGGGTAATCAATAGTCCAATAACAAAATAGCAACCTAGAACTAAGGAGAAACTTCCTGACAGTTAGAACAATTAACCAGTGGAACAACCTGCCTCCAGAAGCGGTGAATGCACCAACACTGGAAGTTTTTAAGAAGAGACTGGACAGCCATTTGTCCAAAATGGTATAGGGTTTCCTGCCTGAGCAGGAGGTTGGACTAGATGACCTCCGAGGTCCCTTCCAACTTTATCATTATTATTATTATAAAATCATTCATGTATATCTCAGGTTACATCAATAAAGATTCCCTCTCTAATTCCCTTAAATATTATATCAAGTTCATATTAATACCTTTCTAACTAAAGCTCAGTCAATCAATCCATTTATCAATGACATTTTACTTATACATATCCAAGTCCTGTTTTTAAGTTTTGCTTAATTCCAGCTCCATGTTTCAATTTAGCCTTTTATAACCAATATTTAAGTTTCGGAGAACCTTAATTTCCCTCGTTTCATTATAAGATACTTAACATAACTAGAATAGACATGTTGTTCCAAAATTTACCTTCTTACTTTGTTCACAAAGATATTCTATTTCATTTACTAACAAAACTCTTCCATTATCAGGGGGACCCCTGTTCTAATGAATGATCCTATCCACACACTATGTTCAAGTTCATTTAAATATGAGCCAGCAGTGTGCTGCAGCTGCCAAAAAAGCCAACACAGTGCTAGGCTGCATTAATAGAGGGATAGAATCAAGATCATCTGAAGTATTAATACCACTTTACAAGGCCTTGGTAAGGCCACACTTGGAATATTGCATCCAGTTTTGTCACCACGATGTAAAAAAGATGAGACTCCAGAAAGAGTACAGAGAAGAGCAACAAAGATGATTAGGGGACTGGAGGCTAAAATATATAAGGAACGGTTGCTGGAACTGGGTATGTCTAGTTTAACGAAGAGAAGGACGAGGGGGGACATGATAGCAGTGTTCCAATATCTCAGGGCCTGCCCCAAAGAAGAGGGAGTCAAGCTATTCTCTAAAGCGCCTGAAGGCAGGACAAGAAGCAACGGGTGGAAACTAATCAAGGAGAGAAGCAACTTAGAACTAAGGAGAAACTTCCTGACAGTTAGAACAATTAACCAGTGGAACAACCTGCCTCCAGAGGCGGTGAATGCTCCAACACTGGAGGTTTTTAAGAAGACACTGGACAGCCATTTGTCCGAAATGGTATAGGGTTTCCTGCCTGAGCAGGGGGTTGGACTAGATGACCTCCAAGGTCCCTTCCAACTTTATCATCATCATCATCATCATCATCATCATCATCATCATCATCATTATTATTATTATTATTATTATTATTATTTTTATTGAAAATTTTAGAAAGTTTTACAATGTAATTCCTCCCCTCCCCCAAACCCACCCTTACCCTCCCCCCTCCCTCCCCCCCACTTCCCAGAGCCAATCACAAGGTTAACAGTACAATAACCATACTCTATCTAACATTAATCAACTATTAG